ATTTAAGTCACAAGGAATACAAGCCAGAAGTGGCGTGAAGGCTAATTGGTATCTACTGTGTAGGGGAATGGCTCATCATTAACTATAATAAAAAGAATTTTTTTTTTTTTTTGAGATGGAATCTCACACTGTCGCCCGGGCTGGAGTGCAATAGCACGATCTTGGCTCACTGCAACCTCCACCTCCTGGGTTCAAGCGATTCTTCTGCCTCAGCCTTCCGAGTAGCTGGGATTATATAGGCATCCACCACCACACCCGGCTAATTTTTTGTATTTTCAGTAGAGACAGAGTTTCACTATGTTGGCCAGGCTGGTTTGAACTCCCGACCTCAGGTGACCTGCCTGCCTTGGCCTCCCAAAGTGCTGGGATTACAGGCGTGAGCCACCATGTCCAGTCACTAAAAATAATTTTTAAAAATGATATATTCAGGCCAGGTGCGGTGGCTTACACCTGTAATCCCAGCACTTTGGGAGGCTGAGGCAGGGGATCACCTCAGGTCAGGAGTTCGAGACCAACCTGGCCACCATGGAGAAACCCTGTCGCTACTAAAAATACAAAAATTAGCTGGATGTGGTGGTGCGTGCCTGTAATCTCAGTTACTCGGGAGGCTGAGACAGGAGAATCGCTTGAACCCTGGAGGCGGAGGTTGCAGTAAGCTGAGATTGTTTCACTGCACTCCAGCCTGGGTGATAGAGCAAGACACCCATCTCAAAAAAAAAAAAAAAAAAAAAAAAAAAGACATCTTCTATCCTTGTCCATCACAGTCTAATTAATCTCAATAGAACAGCCAGGCAATCTTTTTGAAGTGTAAAGTCAGATCATGTTGTAAACCAAAAATAAAATTTGAAGGCCCCACAACAATTTGAATGGACCCTCACCCAGGCAGGGAGCTCTAAAATTTAACCTGAAAGACTGGTTCAGGCTCCATGAACACTGACTTCCTTGCTCTCTGTGTCACAGCCATTTGAACCAGAGCAACTCCATCTTGACTAAGGGCTGGGTTAAAATAAGGCGGAGACCTACTGGGCTGCATTCCCAGGACGCTGGGCATTCTGAGTCACAGGATGACATAGGAGATTGGCACGAGATACAGGTCGCAAAGACTCTGCTGGTGAAACAGAGTGCCATAAAGAAACCAGCCAAAACCCACCCAAACCAAGATGGCATGAAAGTCACCTCTGGTAGGCCAGGTGCAGTGGCTCACACCTGTAATCCCTACATTTTGGGAGGCTGAGACAGGTGGGTCACCTGAGGTCAGGATTTCAAGACCAGCCTGGCCAACATGGTGGAACCCTGTCTCTACTAAAAAATATAAAAAATTAGCTGGGTGTGGTGGTGCGCGCCTGCAATCCCAGCTACTTGGGAGGCTGAGGCAGGAGCATCGCTTGAATCTGGGAGGTAGAGGTTGTAGTGAGCCAAGATAGTGCCATTGCACTCCAGCCTGGGCAACACAGCAAGACTCCATCTAAAACAAAAATAAAAAATAAAAAAATAAAAAAGAAAGTGACCTCTGGTCATCCTCACTGCTCATTATATGGTAATTATAATTCATCAGCATGCTAAAAGACACTTCCACCAGCACCATGACAGTTTAGATGCCATGGCCATGCCCATAGGTTACCCTATATGGTCTAAAAAGGAAATGAACCCTCAGCTCCAGGAAATCATCCCTTTCCCAGAAAACTCATGAAAAAAATCCACCCTTTGTTTAGCATATAATCAAGAAATAACTGTATTATCAGTCGAGCAGCCCATGCCGCTGCTCTGCCTGTGGAGTAGCCATTCTTTTGCTTCTTTACTTCTCTAATAAACTTGCTTTCAGTTTACTCTATGGACTCACCCCAAATTCTTTCTTGTGTGAGTTCCAAGAATCTTCTCTTGAGGTCTGGATCGGGACACCTTTCCGGTAACATCTGCTCAAACGTCACTTTTTCAGGAAGGCCTTCCCTGGTTACACTGGTTTAAAGTCTCCATTCTCTTCTTCCCCTGCTTTGTGTTTTTCTACTGGACATACTATATGTTGTATTTTGTGTCTGTCTTTCCCCAGCAGCAAGTAATCTAGGAAGCCTGGGCATTGTCTTTTTTCCACTGTTGCATCCCTAGTGTCCAGTCTGGCTGAGAGTCGGTGCTCAGTAAGTATGTGTGAGATGAATGCGTATCACTAAAATCTAACGTCTGCTAATTAACTCCACAGGGCAAGTTAACTCATTTGCTAGCCTAGGAATGCATTTTGCAGCTCACTTATTCAGGCTGGTGCTCCCGGAAGCCACGCTGCTCAGAACCCAGATAACCCATGGCAGCATCTGAGAGAGAATCCTGTGATGTCACAGACGACCGACTGCCCTTGCTTTAAAATCTCCCAAGCCAACACTTTTTTCCGCCATGCTTTATGGCAAGGCTTGTGGCACGTCTAAAAAACATTTTTTTTTTTGTTTTTCCACATTGGAGTAATTCCTAAGCAGCTCTGAGAAAAGTGTAACTTTGCTTTCAGACCACGTGACAATGAGTACCCTTGCATCGAGGGGAGCACTATTAGATGCTCCAGTTTGTGGAACAGGCCATCAGTCCCGGCTCTTGCTCATGTGGCTTCTTAACCCTAAAGATGAGCTCTCAGTCAACACCACAGGAGCTACTGATATAATTGGGATATCTAACTCCTCCAAATCCAGCATCGAAATCTGATTCTCAATATTGGAGGTGGGGCTTGATGGGAGGTGTCTGGGTCACCCAGAAAGATCTCTCATGATCTGCTTGGTGCCCTCCTTGAGGTAATGAGTGAATTCTCACTCTATTAGCTCTGCCAGATCGGTTTGTTAAAAAGAGCCCAGCACCTCCCTCCCTTCTCTCTCTTTCTGTCTCTTCCCAGGTGACACACAGGCTCTCCTCTGCCTTACACAACGATTAGAAGCTTCCAAAAGCCCTCCCCAGAAGCACATGCCAGCACATGTGCTGCAGTACAGCCTGCAGACCCACGGGCCAAATAAACCTCTTTTCTTTTTTCGTTTATTTTTTTGAGACGGAGTTTTGCTCTTGTTGCCCAGGCTGGAGTGCAATGGCACAATCTCAGCTCACTGCAACCTCTGTCTCGCAGGTTCAAGCAATTCTCCTGACTCAGCCTCTTAGTAGCTGGGATTAGAGGCATGCGCCACCACACCTGGCTAATTTTGTATTTTTAGTAGAGACGGGGTTTCACCATGTTGGTCAGGCTGGTCTCGAACTCCCGTGATCTGCCCACCTCCGCCTCCCAAAGGGCTGGGATTACAGGCATGAGCCACCATGCCCAGCCTCTTTTCTTTATAAATTACCCAGTCTCAGATATTCCTTTACAGCAACGAAACAGACCACCACAGACTCTCCATGTCCTCAGCAGGAGCACCTTGAAGAAGCGACTTGCAGACAGGTTCCTAGAACACATTCAGCACTCCTTTAATATTTGAATCCTGTCTTTGGATCCACCGGCACCAGCGGAAACTGAACACACAGACCAATCTGCAAAGCTCCTCAGCAAACGGCTTCACAACGTCATGTGTTAATGTTTTGCCTTGAGAGTTCACTGAAGATTCTTCTAAAAATCATTTGAAAGTAAAGCCATGCTCAAGAAACTTGTTTAGGAATTAATTCAAAGATTATTTCCTTTGAGGAATGGCTATTTTCCCACTTTGGGATAAAAATTACATTCCAGAGTGAGGTTTTCATTTCTTCTCTCCCTGTCAGGAAATCTAGAGCAAAATCACCACCACCTTCTCCAGCTCTCTGTGTCAGAGACGTCTGAACCAGAGCAACTCCATCTTGAGTAGGGGTTCGGTAAAATAAGGCTGAGACCTATTGGGCTGCATTCCCAGGAGGTCAGGCATTCTCCCATTCAAGTACTAACCAGGCCCGACCCTGCTTAGTTTGGTTAACAATGTTTTAACCCTTATGGATGACATATCTGGAACATCTGGATTCTTCTCCCCGCCCCTCAACCCTGTGTTTCTGATTTTCTATTTTTCATATATCATTTCACTGCAGTGGTTTCTCGTAAGTTGCCTCAAAGCCACTATGGAGACAGAATATAAATAAACATAAAGTAACTGTCTCCATTAAGAGTCAACATCAATGAATGATTTCAGCCTGTTTCTAAACAATGGCTTTTAGGTTTACTCCAGCAGGAGACATTTTGAAGGCATGTTAGGAAGAATATCAGAATGCACCACCAAATGGAACAATGAATCTCCCCTGGAAATTTCAAAGAAAAGGCTCAGGCTCCCTTCCCAAGGTGGTTTAAGTGCTGGATGGAGAGAGAGAAGGTCAAATGACTGAAGAAGGTTCTTTACATCTGTGACTCCATGGTATCACTTGAAGATACCAACTATTCCAATATAATAGAAAATAATTTAAAGATCCTCAGCCAGACCACACACTCATCTGGGATTTGCTACCATCACTCAGACCAGTGAGATGGGCTTCAAAAGCATCACAGGTCAGAACAGAGACCAGTATGACTTGTACCCCATCAGCTGCTGTACGCCTGCACACAGGAGAGCCCCAATCACATGCCAAGGGCTTCCAGACATACATCAGTCATTCTTTCTAACTACCCAGCTGCTAAGTCTCCAAAGAGAACTTTACCTGATACAAATAATCATCTAGTCAGAATTCCTGTTCTTCAGAAATGATCCTAGTTTGCACGTTTTAGGCAAATGAAAAATAATGCATAATACTTCTATTCAATAATTTCATCTGGCTTTCTTCATATCTATCATCTTGCTTGTCTTCACAATCCCCAGTCCATGCCACCCTAGAAGGTGGCATGATGATGTTAGAGGCAGAGACCAAGATCCTGGTGACCCATGTGCTTTCCCCAGTGGAAATGTCAGAGCTATCTCAGAGCTCACCAGCCCTGCGGTCCTTCCACAGGGGCACATGACCAATATGTGAGGGTGGTCACGTGCACTTCTACACACATGACCATCTACATTTTGGCTAGACGACTAAAGGAATGGCATCTTTGCTCTTACCCTTTCCTATATGTCTCCTGGTATTTTCTATCGTTGAGTTTCTGTTTACATTAGAAAGAAGTCCAAGACAGAATCTGTTCCTGTTATTTGAAGGGTCGGTGAACCCATCTATGAGCACACTTCGGGAGGAAGCCTGGAACGTCTCCCCAACTCGGTTGTTCAGTTCGTAGTAGGCGACCGAGCACCAGTGCTGGGGCTCCTCGTAACAAACTGGCCGAAAGTCTGGAAGAAAACACACCAGAGAGCACATGGCGACTGTCATACCTGGGCTGTGTAGTTCATGATTCCACCAGGAAACTTAGTTAATGCTTTTCACCAGAAAGTCGGCTGCAAGACTGCGCATGCCATTCTGTCATCTTTTAGAACTTGTAGCTCTCATGGGAGCTGCTTGGGGCTGGCTCATTTCACTAGCACACCTGAGATGTAGAGTCCACGGTCCTTGTTCATCTTCCATGGCTAGAGCATTTATAAACATGTGTATTGGTCATGAAGGGACCAGGGAAAACATGACATGAACAGATGAACATAAAAAAACTGTCGGCCCTAAAGCAAGCACAGCTCAAAGGAAGCTAGCAGGTCACCTCTTCTTTCAGAAACATGTGAAAGATGGCATGCTGCTGTTACTGTGCCCACTTGAAACCTTGTGGCAAAAACTATCATTTTCTAACAAACTAGAGATGGAAAGTAATAGTTTGACTATGATGATAAAGAGCAAATCAATAATGCTGAATAGGACATTAAATTATTTAAGGAAAAAAAAGCTTCCACATAGAGGGGCTCACATTCTGCTTTGTGGATATCTACTTATGCATGGAAAAAACACACATTTAAAGAGAGCTGGATGTTTCATCAGGAAACCCATGAATGTTTTCACACCCAACATAAAGCGAAGTCACTTTTCTGTAACCAAAGCTCAGAGTTCGTTTTCTTTGCCACCCACACCCTTTCTCTGCCTTTCTATTGATTATATTATCTTTGTCTTCCTTGAATATCCTTGTCACTCTTGCATCTAGAGTGTGTTCCTATATGCACTAAATATAAATTTATGCAACAGATAAAATTCGGGGGTTGTTATTTCTCTCACAAAAGGATCTTAGTTTATACAATATTCACTTGGAGTATTTCAAATGGTACACTTCTTTAGAACCTCTCTATTCAAGATCCGGCTCATGGAACAGTAGCCTCTGCATTACATGGGAGCTTAACAATGCAGATTCTTGGACCCCACCCTAAGATCTACAGAATCAAAATCTGCATTTATGCAAGATCACAACGTGGTTTATACAAACATTAAAGTCAAGCAACACTTATCTAGGCTATTATAAGATGCAAATAAAATTTTGTAAAAACCTCATTTATGTATATTTCTAAGAATATCTCTCTGGCCGAATGAAAGACACATATGGTAAAACACAAATAGAATAAAATCCCTAACTTCTTGAGTTCCCAACTCCATACTTAACATCAAGAACTACAAACTTCTAAATGCTAAGTTAAAATAAAAATTAACTTATTCTAGTAATGAGGATGATAAAAACATTAATTCTATGGTACCGAGGAATGTCAAAGTTAAAATGCAAAGCCATCCCATTTGCCTCTTAAAACACATGCAAAACAGCAGGCCAGTACATTTCTGGTTCTGTTTTTTGAATTGCTTTGCTTGGGGGTAATAGGAAATACTTTTGGAAAATAGCTACATTTCACTGTTCATCTGCAATTTACCTCCATTTGGTATCGATAGCACTAAATGTCTATCAGCTGTGGCATCTACAGGTTGGCCACTCTGGGTCTCAGAGGCTTCTGTGGCATGATAAGGCAGGGGTGGTGTGTCAACTAAAAGAAAGCAGTAGAACAAAGGAATTGTCAAATCGATAAACCACACAAAGACAGCTGGATCCGACATCTTTTGCCATTAAACTCCTGAGCTTGGTGGACAGTGCTACTCCTACGGAGAGACCATATGAATGTAACAAGGCTCTTCTGAAGTGGCATTGTGAGTGCTCTACAGAAGAAACTGGTTGTTCCGAGAGCCTCACTAAAGGGTCAATTCCTTTTCCCTCTGACTTCTGAGTTATCACTGAGTTCTAATGACGTCAGGGCAAGACTTTCAAATGCAGGACCTGTTCTCCTAGCTTTTCTCATAGCAGAACAGTCTGTGATCCAGCTTGCAAAACACAGAGAAAGCTAAACCTTCTTTGAAGTGAGCTTAATTTTCAGCTTCTATGTTGTCATGAATTGTACAATGGCCACGGGGACGCTCTATCCCTGAGATACTTCAGGATATGCCCCCAAAACACAGAATAGCTGAAATATAATTGTAACCTTGTACCCAAGGCACACTGAGAAGGGCCCTTCTACCCAAATGTCAGTTCTGTGACTGGACAGTGATCATGGTTAGGCAAATGGGATGCATTCCATGGAAAACAATTCATGACACGTAAAAATTCATGAGGCACAGGGAAAACTCTTTATGGAGGGCCTCAGCACAAAACAACCGATTCCTTCAGCAGGCATGTCTAATGTTAGTTCAGAATGGTCTTGTTACACCCGTGGTGGAATACAACAGCATAAAAGGTTGGATCAATCTGCCTTTGTTGTATCTAACTGTCCACACAAGTAGTTCTCACACTTAAGTGTACAAAAAAATTGCCAGTAGAGCTTGCTAAAAATGCAGATTCTCAGCCCCATCCTTAGCAATTCTGATTCAATAGGTCAGTGGTTGAATGTAGCCATGTACATTTTAACAAGCCCCGATGGCAGGTCTAATGCAGGGTTGATGGACCATACTAGGAAACCATGGATAAGGTATTTCCTTCTGAGAAAATGGGCTATGACTCCTGTGACTCTGGTAAAAAAGTTATAAGGCGAGATGGTCTTTTTGTAGGTCTTTGACTAAATACGTCTATTTACTCAAGGGGCAGAACAGGCTGAGCACAGTGGCTCACACCTGTAATCTTAGCATTTTGGGAGACTGAAGTGGGAGGATCACCTGAGTCCAGCGCTTTGAGACGAGCCTGGGCAACATGATGAGACCCCATCCTACAAAAAAAATTAAAAATTAGGTGGGTATGGTGGTGTGCACCTGTAATCCTAGCTACTCAGAGGCTGATATAGGAGGATCACTTGAACCCAAGAGTTTGAAGTTACAGTAAGCTATGACTGTGCCACCATACTCCAGCCTGGGTAACAAGACCCTGTCTCTAAAAAATTAAAATTAAAAAAAGGGGGACTGAAAATAGAATTACCATATAATGTAGCACTTCCACTCCTAGGTATATACCAGAAGGAATTGAAAGCAGTGTGTTATTTACTAGAGCCAAAAGGTGGGAACAATCCGAATATCCAACAGCTAATGAACTGATTTTTTAAAATGTGGTATAGCCATACAATGAGACATCATTCAGTCAGAAAGATGAACTACCGATACATGCTACAACACAAACTGTGAAAACACTTGGCTAAGTGAAATAAGACAGACACAAAGGGGCAAATATTGTATGAATCTAGTATATGAGGTACCTGCAATAGGCAAATTCAGTGAGACAGAAAGTAAATTAGAGCTTACCAGGGGCTGGGGAAGTAGGGAAATGGGGAGCAATTGCTTAATCAGTATGGAGTTTCTGTTTGGGGTGATGAAAAATTTTTGAAAATAGATATGGTGATGGTTGCACAATATTATTAATGCACCTAATGCCATCAGATGGCATTTTTTTTAATAGCCCTCACCCAGGCTAGAGTGCAGTGGCACAATCTCAGCTCACTGCAGCCTCCAACTCCGGGATTCAAGTGATTCTCGTGCCTCAGTCTCCTAAGCAGCTGGAATTACAGAGGTGCACCACCACGCCCAGCTAACTTTTGTATTTTTAGTAGAGATAGGGTTTCAATATGGGTTGGCGAGGCTGGTCTCGAACTGCTGACCTCAAGTGAACCGCCTGCCTAAGCCTCCCAAAGTGCTGGGATTACAGGCATGAGCCACACTGCACCCGGCCAGATTTTACTCTTAAAAAATGGTTAAAATGGGCTGGGCGCATTGGAGCACACCTGTAATCCCAGCACTTTGGGAGGCCAAGGCGGGTGGATCACCTGAGGTCAGGAGTTCATGACCAGCCTAACATGGTGAAATCCCATCTCCACTAAATACAAAAAAATTAGCCAGGTGTGGTGGCGCACGCCTGTAATCCGAGGTACTTGGAAGGCTGAGACAGGAGAATCACTTCTACCTGGGAGGCAGAGGTTGCAGTGAGCCGAGATTGCGCTACTGCACTCTAGCCTGGGCAACAAGAGCAAAACTCCATCTCAAAAAAAAAAAAAAAAAAAAGTTAAATAAATTTTGTGTTTATCTATTTCACTACTACTTGAAAAAAATTAACATATGAAAAGTCATTGACTTGTACACTTGAAATGGGTGGTTGTATGGTATGTGAATTATACCTCAATAGAGCTTTTTAAAAAATCTAGAGGCTGAACCAGTAAATCGCCAAGGTTCCTTTTACGCTTGTTTATCTGTGGGTCTGTTACTCAGGTTGGCATTTTGGTGTTAATCATTCAGACAAGAATTATTTTCTTTGAAGTGAAAAGGGCTATGCCTTCGGTGAGAAACTAACCAGCTTCTGCATCATTGCTGGGGTCTGTCCTGCGTGGGTGGGAAGAGGAAAAAGAACATCAACCTGTCAGAGTAATCAGGGCAGGAATTCAAAGTCAGCACAGGAAGTCTTTGTAGCATAGAGGTGTGTTAGGTAAATATATATTTTGCAATACAATTATCCTCCTGTTCCTTAGCCAAGGCTCTGTCCTCAAATGACTTCTCTTTCTGTTGTATTTCTTCTTTCTCAGTGAACTCAGCCACTTGCAAAACTTCAACCACCTGCTCCCACACTGAGTGAATGACTCTCAAGCTACTCTCCAGCATCTCTGCCTTCACCCTACAGTAGGTCCTGCTGGACCCCCTCCTCCAATTCACTGCCCTCTTTCCAACCCCACATCCCTGTTTTAGTTCAAGTCCTTATAATCACTTGCCTGGACTGCTACAGGCTACCTATACGTGATGGCTCTCAACAGCTACTGCCTCCTGAAGGCCAGAGACCACAGTAGTCCTCCTTCTCCACTAGAGATACAGTCTGAGACCCCCAGGGGATACCTGAAGTTGTGGCTAGTACAGAGTACCACATATACTATGATTTTTTCCTATACATACCTGTGATAAAGTTTAATTTATTAAACACAGTAAGAGATTAGGAACAGTAACTAACAATAAAGTAAAACTATTAGAACAATAGCCAGCATCACTACTCTTGTACTTTGTGGTCACTATTAAATCAGAGTGACCTGAACACAAGCACTGCAATGCCTCAACAGCTGATCTGATCACAGAGACAGCTACTAATTGACTCACAGGTGGATAGCGTCTTCAACATGGATACGCTGGGCAAAGGGATGATTCAGAACCTGGACAGGATGGCACAAGGTTTCATCCCCACATACAATTTAAAATTTATGAATTGTTTATTTCTGGAATTTTCCATTCAGTATTTTCAGGCTGCAACTGACCTCAGGTAACTGAAACCTCATATAAGAGGGGACAACTACATTGTCTTGATCATCACTGCACCTCTAGCACTGGCCCAGTGCCAGGCACTTCGCAGGTGCTCAGTCATCACTTACTGAGTCAATGAAACCTGTGCCTATGGTCTGAAGCTCCACGTCCATGTTCTAATGCCTGTGTGGGCCGGGTGCAGTGGCTCATGCCTGTAATCCCAGCACTTTGGGAGGCCGAGACAGGCAAATCACCTGAGGTCAGGAGTTCGAGACCAGCCTGGCCAACATGGTGGCCATCTCTACTAAAAATGCAAAAATTAGTTGGGCATGGTGGTGCCGCTCGTGTAATCCCAGCTACTAGGGAGACTGAGATGGAAGAATTGCTTGAACCTGCGAGGTGGAGACTGCAGTGAGCCAGGATCATGCCACTGCACTCCAACCTGGGTGACAGAGCAAGACCCCATCTCAAAAATAAATAAATAAATAAAAATAAATAAACACCTGTGTAGTAATTTATTTATTCAATAATCAACTGATGAGCAACCACTGCATTTCAGGCTCTGTGCTGGACATAGAAAAAAGAAGGCTCACTGTTTAATGGGGGAAATAGACACACAGGAATTATATAATACAGTGCAATAAATGTAATAGTAGATGCTTATGTAACTTGCTGAGGGGCAAAAGGAACTAAGTAACTCAGAGGGGAAGAAGCAATTCCCTCTTTATCTTCCCACATTGTATAAGCTCTGTGAGGACAGGCACAATTTTTATTAACTTTTATTCCCCTTTCAGCAATCCTAAGGCAATACTTGCATATAGTAAGAGTTTAATAAATATCCATTAAGTAAATGATTGCAGGAATAAATGAATGAGGCAGACTGTAACATCTGGCACCAAATGTATTTATGCATGCCTTTAGGAACTTGCCAGCTCTGCGTAGTATTTATCTCACACTCATGAGGTGCGTATGTATCTTTTATTCATTATCTCAACTTAGATTCACTTTACAGGTACGGTAGCAAATGCAATTATGACAGCATGCTAGAGGCTCCCTTTCCCTTCCATAGGCTTTCTCAATTCAGCAAACTGAAGAGCTCTGTAGTTAAGCTCTTCACATGGCTTCACATGGCAGGAAGGGAGAATGCACTGGCTGGAGCGGGGGCTGCACTTTCTGCCTCACTCAAAGGATGCAGGCATATGTTTTAGGCAAAGGCTTCCTTTGACTGTTGAAAGAGGCAACCAAGGTGAAGGCCTAGCATTGACCTTCCATGTTGCTTGTCCTCAGGCCAAGTCTTCTGCTTGGATTACAGGAGTCTTTTAATCTTATTTCTACTGCCTTAAAAAAAAAAATCCTTGGAAATTCCCAGGGATACTATTCAAATCCATTTAGTTTCTGAGAGCTTCCAGAGCATTAGAACTAAAACTAGAGCAAAAACATGTTATATCTCCAGGGTAACTGCTTCAAAATGGGAATAGTCCTAATCATTTTAAGGCTGATTGCTTTGTCAACGGTTTACACTATATGAATGAGAGTTACAATGACTGTCATTGTGACTGTTCATCACAAATCATCATGTTGGGCTTATTTTCCCGTATTTCCCCAGAGACCATAGTTCTTACTGACCTGAGTGTTGATAGGGACTCTCTGGCTCAGAAGGACTTCCTGGGGAGTGAGGGTAGCTGGCCGTGCACGGGGACTGGGAGAACGCGTGGCTGGGTGAGGGAGGGAGTGCAGAGCACGGAGGCTGCTGGAAAGAGTCGGGATAGGTGGCGTTGTGTGGCATGAGTGGCTCACTGTGCAGGGAGGCGCTGCGGAACTTGGCCAGGAGGCTGAGCTGGGGGTTATATTCACTGTGTCTTGGCACGAGCACAGGAGGCAGCACTAGGATCAGAAAGGAACAGGGCAGTTAGAATTGAACATTGCTCATCAGTACACAACAGAGCGGATACTTGCTGTTCTTATCTATTTTTTTGATGATAGAGCTGTTTTTCCCCTTGGGAACTACTCCCATTAGTCATTGTGCTCATCATAAAACTGTCGATTCAGTCCCCATCTCCACCTAAGAAGCGAGCATGTGAGTAAGCTAAGGTAACAGTCTTCTCCTTGTAACCTGAATCTTAAGCAGAATGTCATTGTTCACAAAAAATATTTGCAGAAGGATCTTTCTAGTGTCAGCACTCTAAAGAGACCTGCTATTTATTCCTATCTTGGAAATGACCAGAGCTGCCCTAATACCTGGCCTTCTGGCGACCTGATGGTTACATCTTTCTTTAATTCTGCCAAATGAGTCTTTTTCCCCCCAAGGCAGAATCCGTTTCTGTTGCTTGCAATGAAACCCTAAGTGATGCCCAGAATATTTTTCCTCCAGAGATCATGTTGAATTATTTAGATGACCAGACACAATTTCAGGTTCAGTAGTGCTGCTGAAATAAAAACATTCTATGCGTCCTTAATGGAAAGATTTCAAGGTGAGTAATTAAAAGTTATTAAGTAAAATACAAATGGTGAATAATAATAAAAGTGACTAAGTAAAAGATAAGCAGCAGCAGGGCACAGTGGCTCACGCCTGTAATCCCAGCACTTTTGGGAGGCCGAGGCGGCCAGATCACCTGAGGTCAGGAGTTTGAGACCAGCCTGGCCAACACGGTGAAACCTCGTCTCTATTAAAAATACCACAATTAGCCGGGTGTGATGGTGGGAACCTGTAATCCCAGCTATTCAGGAGGCTGAGGCAGGAGAATCGCTTGAATCTGGGAGGTAGAAGTTGCAGTGAGCCAAGATCATATCATTGCACTCCAGCCTGGGTGACAGAAGTGAAACTCTGTCTCAAAAAAAAAAAAAAAAAAGGTAAGTAGCAGTAAGAAAACATAAATGATGTTTGTTCATTTTACTATGCTTTTTTGGATTTCATTTTTTAAAAAGAATGTTACAGTTCTTGATTTTGATTCTATGCAAAATTTCAGAATAAATTCAAATTCTTAAGGGAAAGTTTTGCCTAGGCCCTCACGTCCCACTGACTCCTAGAAGGTTACAATGCCTGGCATAAAGTAGCTACTCCAAAAATGTTGTTGGAGAGCCATCTGCAACCAACATAAGTTCCAGACAGAGAGGCAAAGAAAACACAAGGGGGAAGCGGCCTAAGAAATAACAAAGGAAAACTTCAAAGAGCTACGAAGGACCTATGTCTTCATATTGAAAAGAGCCACAGAGTGCGCTGAGCTCAATTAATGAAAATAAGATCCCGACCTAGTCTTTCCATCTTGAATTTCAAACATTGCGGGAAAACTGGAATATTCCAGAAGCTCCTAGAGGATCACCACAAAGTCACCTACAAAGAAATGAGAATCAGCCGACCTCAACGTCCCACTCCTACCCTGGCTATTAGAAGTCAACGGACCAACACCCTTCTGAGGACAAATAATTCTTATCCCCAAATTCCACAATGGAAACCACTGGAATAACCAAAAACAAATACAAACTATGAACTAAAATACAGAAATCAAGGACTGAGAAGAGGAGGAAGGAAGAAGATTAAAATACAAGTGAGTGAGGCCAGGCGCGGTGGCTCATGCCTGTAATCCCAGCACTTTGGGAGGCCAAGGCAGGCGGATCACAAGGTCAGGAGATCGAGACCATCCTAGCTAATATGGTGAAACCCTGTCTCTACTGAAAATACAAAAGATTAGCCGGGTGTGGTGGTGGTTGCCTGTAGTCCTAGCTACTCGGGAGGCTGAGGCAAGAGAATGGTGTGAACCTGGGAGGTGGAGCTTGCAGTGAGCCAAGATCGCATCACTGCACTCCAGCCTGGGCGACAGAGAGAGACTCCGTTTCCAAAAAAAAAAAAAAAAAAAAAAGGTGTGTGTGTATATATACATACATATAAATATAAATAAGAGTGAAATCCTCATCTTTTATGTTAGAGAGTCAATGACATCTAAAGGTCACAAATTTGGAAATAGATAGGTAAGCATGTATTATCTAGAGTTACTGTCATAATTCTTAGTAATAATAGAAAGAAATACAAAAGAACTAAGCAAGAATTGTTTTAAAACAGTTTGTCTCTGGGTATAAACAGGACAGATCTTGGTTCTAATCACACTATTGATTTGTCAGTCACAGGCAAGTATTAATAAAAACTCACAAAAAGTAAATGTTCTAAAACTGCTCTAAAAAATAAGGTCTTAAAAAAGGTAAATGTTTTGGAATAAACAGACAATAACAATAACAGTGACAACCCCAAAGTCTGCCATCTGCCTTTGACATCATACATCTCTCTCTTTTGTAACAAGCAATAATTTTCAGTTACATGGACAGAAAATAAACTCAAAAGAGTAAATGAAAGGTTTTAAACTAAAATTGCTACAAGTGAGGGTGGCAGAGAAACAAATAATTTCTTCCCCTTTTACAAGCTAGTATTTGTATACGTATGCAGCCTTTGACACCAGAGAATAAACATTCAACATCACCATGAAACAGTGACATGGATAATAAACCATTAAATTTCCTTTAATGTGTTAATATTCCACAACTATGCAGGAAAAAAAAGATTATGTGCCTCATGAGTAGTCTGAAGTGAAGAGTTGACACAGCAAATGCGTATGGCTTCTTTGTCAATGACCCTTCATCAAAACGTTAACGATGTTCAAATAAACATTCACTTTTTTATGAAGAAGAATTTGAATAATCTCTGTGACTTCAGTTTTAATGTAAAATACCTACGGTGTATTCTTAACACTGATAAAAATATAATGCCTCCTATCCATCTGAATGGAGAGACTTCTATTTCTTCATGGCCTGTAGATCTGAGGCACCAAGAGAAAATAAATGATATATTTCCTTTATCGTAACAACTATCTTGATAATATATTTTTACCATCTGGGTAAAATCAAAGCCAGTGGATGTTTGCAAAGAAAACTGATGGTTTCATCCTAGTTGTTATTTGACCTGACTGGCTCAGTTGCCTTAAATGTGCACAGATCATATTTTTAAATACCTTCACTCAAAAACACAGCTATCCCTAATTACTTAACTCCACTTCTACATCTCAACTGCTGCTTGTAAATATGACAGTGCGCTTATAGACACTCATTCCTATCTCATGCCACTTTTAAATACCATGCTATCTTTACATCTCAGTGTTACCCAGGAGAGAACAGCAGAAGGAGTTACAGGGCACATGGGGGTGCAAAACAGAGCTGGAAAAAAACACTTTTGTCTTTTTAAAAAAAGTCATGTGGTTTTGATATAATATGACTATTTTATATAAAAAAGAAATTACACTCCTGAAATAACCTCTGGCCTAACGGAGTAAAATCATCATGTACCACAACAGTCTTGCATGGCTTCCACCAGACCCATGCCAGGTAAAGTGTGGTCTGAGGACTGGGGACCCTTGGACAACTGTTGGGGACCAGTCTGTGAAGAAATTAGTGCTTAGAAACTTTTCACAGCAATTTCACAGTTTATAGTTCATATTTCTTTAAATAATTTTTTAAACTGGGCTTATATTTTCTAAGTCTTTTTAAAATTTCATTTGCCTAATAATTTGTCTGTACTATAAAAGTATTCGTTTGAAGGACCGGAAATTAAAAAAATAAAAACTGATCCCTCACCACACATAACTTGGAAAGCACTGAAGTCAACTATTGAAGTGGATGTGTGGATGCAAAGAAAATGGGAATACAGCCTTCAACGTATCTAAAGTAGATGGCCAAAAAATGAGATTTCAAAGGCAAAACTTCAGCTTTATGATACATAGGAAGTCAGCAAACTTGTTTAATGTTAACATTTTTATTATTATTATTATTTTTTTTTTTTTTTTGAGACGGAGTCTCGCTCTGTCGCCCAGGCTGGAGTGCAGTGGCCGGATCTCAGCTCACTGCAAGCTCTGCCTCCCGGGTTTATGCCATTCTCCTGCCTCAGCTTCCCGAGTAGCTGGGACTACAGGCGCCCGCCACCTCGCCCGGCTAGTTTTTTGTATTTTTTTAGTAGAGACGGGGTTTCACCGTGTTAGCCAGGATGGTCTCGATCTCCTGACCTCGTGATCCGCCCGTCTCGGCCTCCCAAAGTGCTGGGATTACAGGCTTGAGCCACCGCGCCCGGCCAACATTTTTATTATTCTTAAAATATTTATTTTAAATATGGATAGCTAACTAGATATAAAATCTACTTTTTCTATTAAAAAAATCACAAGAGGAAGAAAAACCTCTGTAACTTAAATATTACCTTAAATTAATATAATCTTTACACCCATCTTTCCTTCTGGAAATTCACAGCTAAATTATGATAAAATGAAATCTATTTACCATACGTAAAACATTCACACTATCATTCCTAAAAGAATCTTACAGAACAGGAAAAACTAAGGGCCAGGTGTGGTGGCTCACACCTGTAATCCCAGCACTTTGGGAGGCCGAGGCAGGTGGATCACGAGGTCAAGAGATGGAGACCATCCTGGCCAACATGGTGAAACCCCGTCTCTACTGAAAATACCAAAATTAGCTGGGCAAGGTGGCACATGCCTGTAGTCCCAGCTACTCAGGAGGCAGAGGCAGGAGAATCGCTTGAACCTGGGAGGCGGCAGTTGCAGTGAGCAGAGAGTGCGCCACTGCACTCCAGCCCGGCAACAGAGCGAGACCCTGTCTCAAAAAACAAAAAACATGAAAAACTAAAATGTCAAACAGTTCTTTGAAATTAGGCTTTCGAATATTCAAAAGGAAAACCAGGTACATTTTACAAGATAATTCTTATAAGTTGTTACATTTTACAACTACATTATTCAGGAAGAGAGAAATGATTTTTTAATGAACATTTTTCCATTTGGGCATATTTTGGATGCTTAACGTAATTCAAATCTTTGAAACACATAATGGAATCAAGTCATTTTATTATAAGCGTAGACATTATTGACTTTTTTTTTTTTTTAAAGTAAACGAAGAGAGTCAAAATGAAGCAGTGAAGAAGGGACGAAAGCAACTCGTTCCAGGATTTAGGGGAAACACATCAGATTTGCCAAGCATGTGGAACCTTCTAATACCTTCTCAGCCAGGGCCTCAGTCCCTGAATGGGCTGTGGGAGGCATCTACACACAGGTAGATGACTTCCTTAAGTTCTGGGAGCTGGAAAGATCACTTAGCTAAGACTGAGGTAGGCTGGGCATGAGTCACTTATTGGATACTGTTTTAAGGTTAACTGAACCTGCCTACGTAGATGGGACCATCTCTTCGTTGGACACGGGCAATTTCCATGAGCTAATGTGTCAGTGCTTTGGTTTCCTGGGATGAGGCAGATGGCCAAAGAGAGAAAGCTCTCCTAAAACTGTGTTCGTGTGTGGAATGCCACAGAAACAATCAAAGAGAATCACAGTGAAACCCTGTTATAGCCAGTGTGAAGGAACAAAGATAAACACCTGGCTTCTCCAAGAGAAGGGGGAAATACAGATAGACAGATATATATATGTATAAAATACACATATATATAAAATATACATACACACACACATACAGGGGTGTGAAGGGTTTTAGAAAGGTACTTTCCTATACAGTCATGCACTGTGTAATCATGTTTTTGTTGAGGGATCACATATAAGACAGTGGTCCCTAAGATTATGATACTGTATGTTTAGATCTGTTCACATACATTCAATACCACTGTGGTCAGGATTGCCTACAGTATTCAGTATAGTAGCATGCTGTGCAGGTTAGTAGCCTAGGAACAACATGCTACACCATACAGCCTAAGGGTGTAGCAGGCTATCCCACCTAGGTTTGTGTAAGTACACTCCAGCGTGTTCACACAAGGAAGAAATTACCTACTGATGCATTTCTCAGAATGTATTTCCATCATTAAGTGATACCTATCTGTATTTAAAACCATTTTTCAAAATAACTGCCTGGAATGATTTCCAGCAACTCTTTCACTGGCTGTTGTCAGACCTACATACAAAATACCTTCTATTTACCTGAACTTGAACAATTGGTAGCAGCCAAAAACCCCGCCTTAGTTCAGTTTAGTACAGTTCAGTTCAGTTGTTTGAGGGGGGGAGGATGATGTTTAATTTTTACAGCTCATCATTATCAAGGCCGTTGTAAAAACCTTTCAGGACCCCAAGAACTGGTAAAAGATTATGTCAACTTGTCCGAGACACCTCAAAATAAAACTTTTATGGGAGTTTTCTCTCTTTGATTAGCCATCTGCCTCATTTTCAAAATCACACAAAGCTTGCAAGCATAATGAGATCAAATGAAAGTATCTTCTTTCTAGATTTTTCTGGCTAGTTTATCTTCATTCCCTCACACTGGCTATAACAGGGTTTTACTGTGATTCTCTTCGGATTGAGTGTTCCTGTGGCATTCCAGGCAGGAATATGGTTTCATGGGAACCTTCTTTCTTTGACTGGACATCTGCCTCATTCCAGGAAACAAAAATGTGGACCAGTCCCTCAAAACTGAACCTCCCTCTCCTCTCTCTCTCTTTAGGGACAGGTCCCTGTTTGCTGGTACTCCGTCATTCTCCATCAATGGGGCACACGCCCTTCACTCTGAAAATAAACCTCGACGTGGTAAAGACGACCCACCTGGAGTCTCCACCCGGCGGTAGTGGTAAGGGTTAATGCACACCTCTTTCTGCTTGGAGCCAAATGGGAACTCACAGCACTCCAGTGGCTTCAGCTCATGGTGGGACTGCAGATCCGGCCAGCGCCACACGCGGCAGTAAATCACGTGGGGCAGGCCCTTGCGGTGGGACACCTGCAGCCGCCCGTCCAGGGAGCGGGGAATCGTGACGCACTTGCTGGGCTGCCCCGGGCAGCTGAGCGCCCTCTCCAGCTCGTCCATGGCTCCTTTCTTCTTCTTTAATTTCTTCACTAGAGAGTCCACCGCCTTCTCTGCCCACTTTTCCTCTTCATCTCCTTGCTTCCAGCCTAGCAGTCTCTTCACTGCGGGGCTGGTGAAGGAGAAGAGGGAGCTGATGGGGGTGGTGGAGTGCATAAGGGGCCACAGCAGGCTCCGGCGCAGCACGGGAACCGCACAGTCCTTCACGGCAAAGTGGGCGGCGAGCAGCTCTCCAAGGGTGGCATAGGGACCAACCCGCCCGTTCTTCTGGGAGCGGCTAGGACCAATTCAAGTTGGGAAGTGTGTTGACTTTCTCCTAAGCCCTTGCACACGCTGGCCAACTCTGGAAAACACGACAAGACTTCAATTAGTTTAATCAGGGTAACATTCAGAAAAAGTTGAAGTTGGATAGAAAGAGGTGATCCACACCTGCAGTCCCAGCTACTCAAGCGGGAGAATCGCTTGAGCCCAGGAGGGTCGAGGCTGCGCCACTGCACTCCAACCTGAGCAACAGAACCAGGCCCCAGAGTTGGACAGAAGGGACGAAACATTCTTCAAATGTTTTAATTTGAAAACTGTTGTCTTTGACTCTGCCCTCTCCTCTATTCCCTATATCCAGGTCTCAGGTCATTCTGCCTTCAAAGTCTTTGGAGTTCGTCCCTTTCTCTCCATTTCCGCCGACACCTGAGGTCTGGCCCACCACACCACTCCTCTGAAGTAGCATCTCCCCTTCTCTCTTTCCATTCTAATCCACTTACTCCCAAACATGGCTCTTAGCACTTTCCCATTTAAGAAATCACAGTGGCTCCTTGGTCTCCCAAGTGTAAACTCCTCTGCCTGGGTTTTTCCAGGGCCCCCATAATCTTCCCTCAACATATGTTCTTTCTTTCTTTCTTTCTCATTTTTAGTTTGCACAAGCAATCCATCTTCTTGTAGAAAATAAATACTAATGAAAAGAAAAAAAAAAAAACAGGATCGTGAATAATCTCATCACTCCTGGACAGCCACACTTAACATAGTCTTCCAAACTACTTTTCAGGACAGCGGCTCTCAAAGTGTGCCCCAAGGATCCCTGGGAGTCCCTGAGATCCTTTTAATGGGACTGTGAGGTTCTCTCTTTTCCAATTACTTATTTGTGTGAACTAACTTCTCTTTACACACTTCAACCAAAACATAGCACAACAGAGTATATGGAGAAACAGATAATGACAATCTAGGTGCCATTTATTAAACCAAGTATTAAATAGATTTGCAGTAATATAAAACTCAATAATACTCTTAATAATACTCAGTAATACTTCTCAATAATACTCAGTAATACTCTTCTCAATAACTTTTATGAAAACAATGTTTTAAATAAAAATATTTTATGTTAATATGGAAGTTTTTAATGAATCACTAAATATTTTTAAATTTCTTAGTTTTAATATTTAAAACGGTAAAAATTAATAGATCCAGCCCACAGAGGCAAGAGTTCTTTGTTCTCGATGATTTTTAAAAGTGAAAATTTTTAAGACCCAAATGCCTGACAACTGCTTTTCTAGAAATTATACACTATCACAGACACAAATACATACGCAAGAAAGCACAGCTGTCACGTTTGTTATCTGGTATAAAATCAGCTGAATTCTTCTTTGCCCTCTCATCCACAGGAGATGTTCTTTCCCAGTTATTCAGCAGTCTCATTTAAATATCCTGAGGTATTTCCTCTTCTGTGAAACAGTTGGCTTAAACAAAACCTCCTCCTCCTTCCAGATTTTAGAAACCAGCCGCCTCATTAATGTTTAAAATGGCTGGCTGGTAACATTTTGGAGCAAGCTGACTCAAGTATTTTGGGCTATTGGAATCAATGTAGCTCATAGTCTCCAATAATTGTTTGTTTAATATGCATTAAATATAATCTTCTCCTTTGCTGCCCTGGAGGGCAAGCTGTACCTTTCTGAGTCCAATTCTACAAACTTCTTTTGAACATAGGTGCCTTAGAACCCCCTGCTAGAGTGATCATTATCGGGCACCTCAGGTGAGGAGGATGGCACTATGGTCCCATAAAAACGGATGAGATTTAATGAGTATAAAGCAATAGTCACATCACTTTATTCCTCATCTGGCATTGTACAGAGATAAACTATGACAAAAGGGAGAGTTGAGAGCTCCATAGCTGCCCTTGTTCGCTTGGCAGTTTGACTTACACTCAGTTTTATTTGGAAAGGTTGCTTTTGTGGCTTAACAATCATGAATTTATATAGTTCAGTCACTGTGTTCAAGTTCTGTTTACTTAATCTAGTCAGGCTGCCTTAAAGCAATGGCTGAAGAGGGTTAGGAGCTTTAAGGAGAAGTCTCATGATAGAATAACCTGAACCCCAAAATAGTTGTGAATTCTGCTTAGTTTTACATGGGATTCATTGTCAGTAAGTTGTGGCATAGATCTTTAAGCTGAGGTCAGTCATAGAGAAAAGCTTTTTATAAAACCACTCAGCAGAGTTAAACCAAATACACCTATCAGAAACTTTTGCTCCATGAAACAAGAAACGGTTCCCTAAACCAGGTTTTGTTTGGTTCATCTTTTTAAACTGTGGGTGCCTATTTACCAATGGCATGTGAACTCAATTGATTGGAACAAAACAGCTTTTGTACAAACAATAAAACAAAATAGACTTTATTGCAGAGCAGCTGACAAAAATAATAAGTATAATAATAATCATTTCATTAAGAATTTTCATTCAGAAGTATGTGCTCTGTGTGTGTGTGTGTGTGTGTGTGTGTGTGTGGCGGGGGGCGGGTGTGTGTGGCGGGGGGCGGGTGTATGTGTCCAGGGTCACAGTGGAAGATTTACTTAAGTTGGGTTACAATAAAAAAAGTTTGAAAAGCACTGCTCCTAAACCATACATTTTTCTTGGAACTGTCTGTCTGAGGTTTACCTTGACGAGTGACCTTCAGTGGCCACCATACTTTCTCATACCTTGGAGAACTGCCATCTAGTCACGAATCTAGGGTCTGAAACACCTCGGCTCTCTGCAGACCGATCTCACTGACACATTTCAAATCATTACAGTGGTCTCACGACAGTTCCAAAACTATGATTTTACTGCTGCAAGATACCGCTCCTGTCCCATTAAACGCAGGTCCTTGCATTGAGGGAGGCCCCGAAGAGTTAAATTTAGGACTTCAAGAATGATAAACACCCAATTCATAACAGCGGCCTCCAGGTAGGCTAGAAATAGAGAATATCAAAAAGATTTTAATGAGGCTGACTGGTGGGTATACAGATGTTCAAAATATTATTTTCTATGCTTGTTTGTATGCTTGGCATATTTTTAATAGAAAAATTAAGTGTAAAAAATGATTCATGCCAGGTGCGGTGGCTTACAGCCTGGGTCCCAGCTACTCAGGAGGCTGAGGTGGGAGGATCACTTGGGCCCAGGGGTTTGACTCTGCAGTGAGCTCTGACTGCACCACTACACTCTGGTCTGGATGGCAGAGACCCCGTCCCCTTGTCTAGGTTGTTTCTATTTGTCCAGGCAGTGCACTCTAGGGTTCATAAAGGTTATTCATTCTCATTCCTATAATGTTTTAGCCACTAGTAGAACAAAGGGCCTCCCTGTTTGTCTCCAGGTGGTCATCACCCTGACATTAACAGTGCAAGTTTGTTCAGTTGTGTCAACCTGGCTCCGAATAGCTTTCCATTGTCAGAGAACTGAAATGCCCACAGACTCTAAGCCCTAACCTACTGTCATCTCCTGAAAACTCCATGGCCCAGGTTCACCATAACAATGAAAAGAGAGCACCCTCAGAGCGTTCAGTGAAAAAACAACTGGCTGCAAAAACAGAAGAAAGGGTGATTAATATTTCTCTCAGTTACTACATTTCTAAAAAGTGCAAAGAACAATGAAACAAACAATAAGTGAGCAAAACCTGAGGGGGCGGGAAGTCTGGAAAATTCCTGAGAGGATAACTGGGCTGCACTTCAAAGGATTTAAATCACAGTTAAAAAAAATAATAATAAACTGGTCGGGCACGGTGGCTCTCGCCTGTAATCCCAGCACTTTGGGAGGCATTGGCGGGCAGATTCCTTGAGCTCAGGAATTTGAGATGAGCCTGGGCAACATGATGAAACACCATCTCTACAAAAAATACAAAAGTTAGTTGGGCGTGGTGGCGCGCACAGGTAGTCCCAGCTACCTGAGAGGCGGAGGCAGGAGGATCGCTTGAGCCTGTGAATCGGAAGTTGCAGTGAGTCATGATTGTGCCACTGGACTCCAGCCTGGGCAACACAGGGAGACCCTGTCTCGAAAAATAATAAAAATAATAAAAAATAAAAATATAAACTGTGGTGGATTAGGATAATTTTCTAAGATTTTTTGGTGTGGTATAGTCTCACTTTTGTAAGAAAATCGTGTATCCCTGTCACAGATCAACTGTGTGCTCTTAGGCAAGTCATGTTGTCTCTCTGGATCCCACCCCCTCCTCATCTGCAGATCAAGACAAGGCTCAGTCTCCAGGGAAGGGTCTGCCTGGGAGATGCGTCCATAACTCCGCAGCTGTTGGCTGGATGTGCCACATGGGATCTCAACACTTGCTCAGCTGCTTTGATGCTACTGGGACTACCCGTAGCAGTCGGAGCGTGACCTTCACTCATGACACTTCATAGCACAGAGCAGGGCAAAACAACAGCTCTGACACAGCTATCAAACTGACCCTGTTAATAACAAGTGTCATCTACCGACACGAACCAAGTCCCACTTTGCTCTCCAGCTACTTGTTTCATTTTAGTAGTATTTGAATTACTGCAAAGGAATAAGAGTAAAAACATATACTGGGCATTCCTGTGTTTGAAACCATTGGTCAGTGCGTGATTAGCGTTCATAACCCCAGATCCCCCACAAAGCCTCCTGCTGGTCCTTAGAGCTTTCCGTCTTTGGGCAGAGAGAAAAAAACACCATTACGGTCCTTTCTCTGGAAAGGACACACTTCACACACTCGCAGCACAAAAACAGTACTTTTTTCTTTTTCTGGCATCGAGTTTTACAATAAACCCCAACTGAGTAAGAAAACAACTTCTCATTTTCGAGTCTTTTAAATAAACAAGCCCACTTAAAAGAAAAGCAGTGCTGACCACATGCATACACCATGATTTAAGTGCACATAATTCCACAGTAAAAAACAATTTACCCGGCTGGGTAACAGTTCAGGAGACATAAGCTTTTTTATTTTAAGTTGACGGTTTTAAATCCAGCTCCCATTAGCAGTTACTGAAGATTATTTCCACTCAGTTGATCTCCTTGGAAGGTTCAGTTGGTGATTTTAATCCTGAAGAAAATACAATTTTAAAAATACCGTTTAAGATGG